CCTTCCTACGTGGCTTAGACTAACTGTTGTGGATTTCATTGACTGGTGAAGCCATGTTTTGGTTCGACCGCCGCTAGCTCTTTTCCAGCCTGACCCTATGTCAGCTAAGATTGCCCGTCGAGGAAGGAGATGACTAGGCATGCATACGTAACACATGTCCTAACCATCTTAGTCGATGTAGCTTCACAGCCTCGTCGATTGATTTCCTCTCCCACTCACCTAGAACTCGACGCCTCACCTCAATATTGCTCACCTTATTATGCCACTTTACACGGGAGATGGAACGCAGGCACCTATGATCGAAGGCAGCTAGTCAGGCTTTTCATGTCTTCCACTCTCAATGGCCAGGTCTCACAGATGGCCATAAAAGGGGACGGAGCGGACTGATGATCAGTATACCCGCCCTTTGGTCGATAGTCGAACATCTCGTCTACGCCAGAGACGGCGTAAACTGGCATATGCAAAACTAGCCCTCTGTATCCGTGCTGAGATTTCGTCAAAGATCAACCCGTTGGCAATGGCTGATGGTACTTCCCAAATAAGTGAAGCGGTCAACATGCTCTACCACTTCACTCCCTATTTCTAATCTAGGAGTTGGAGTAGTCCAGTCCTGTAACATCATCTTGCATTTGGTGGGAGCGAATCGCATGCCAAGCATTCGTAGATTGCAGCTCAAGGTGTTTAGAAGAGTCTGCGTTTTGTCAGCGTCCTTACCTAGAAGGACTATATCGTCTGTATATTCTAAATCAACGAGGTTATTCCCTGGTAGGAAGTCAATCCCTGAGTCACTAAAGTGAGTTAGGGTTAAGTCCATTAGTACATCTATGATGAAGTTGAATAGAAAAGGAGATAATTGGTATCCATGACGGACACCACTAGTCATCACCATTTCAGATGACAACTCGCCATAAACCCTCACCTGGCTGCATGAGTATGAGTAGAGTGTCTTAATCAGTGCAATGTACTTTCTCGGGATCCCCTTTACAGCCAAGCATCGCCAGAGTACCTCTCGGTTGACAGAATCGAATTCCGCCTTTAGGTCAAGAAATATAATGATTGTTGGACGCCGGTAAGAATGCTTGTGTTCTAGAATCTGTCGGAGGGTGAAGATATGATCAATACACCCTCTTCCTGGTCTAAAGCCTGTCTGGCTCTCTCGTGTTTGTGCCTCCCGAGCACCACTTAGTCTACGCATGATTATTGAGCCTAAGACTTTAGATACTATATTAGTCAACCTAATCCCTCTGTGATTATCACAGGAAGACTTGTCTCCCTTCTTGTATATGGGGATAATCAGCGATTTGCACCTACCCAATGGGACGTCCTCTGATTCCCAGACGCTGCTTAGTACCTCAGTTAATGCAGACAGTAAACTGTCTCCACCGTACTTAAATACCTCTGGAGTCATTCCATCAGGTCCCGCTGCTTTGCCTTGTTTCATATTAGTGACAGCTTTAGTAACCTCAGTTAGAAACGGAGGACCTGTGTCTATATCCCATTCAGGGAGGTGTTGGTTGTTCGGCATAATGAGCGTGGCTGTGGGCCAATTAAACTGCTCTTCATAGTGCTCTTTCCAGCGTTCCAGTCGTCTATCCTGGGAGCTAATTGTGGTGCCATTTTTCTCCGAGATTGTTTCACTTATGATTTCCCCTCTCCCACCCGTTTCCCTGATGAGTCTAAAGAGTTGCCTAGTGTTGCCTATCGCTGATGCTTTTTCCATCTCTTCCGCCTTTGTCACCCACCACTGTTCACGGTCCTTGTGGAAACTTTCCGTAAGTTTCTTTTTGTGCAGCTTTTGCTCCTCATTGAATTCGGAGCTTGCCGGAATAAGTCTTCTAGCATCTATCTGTTCGGATGAGGCAGTTGAAATCCAATAGCTTTTACTTACCCTTGGGTTTACCTTATTCACAGCTTTTACAGTTGTGAATCAGTGCATAGAAAGTACAATGAATCTAATAAGTCTCAGTAAGTAATAACTATAACTAATCTCATTCGTTAGGACTTGGTCAAATGAGACAGGCTTTTCATGTGTGTGTGAGGGTTAATGATACTATCAAATCTCCGGAAAGTGAAGTAGTCAGAACTTGAATCATACCCTGGTTGAAAGCCCAGTGCTTAATCTAGTGATCTATAAATCCACCAATCAGAATACACAGAGTTTATACCTCAGTAGACTTTGACAGGAATTTCCTTAGAATATATTTTCTTTTATAGACATACATATGAGTCGCTCCATCAAAAGACAAAGAAAAACTGCTCTAAACATCACTATGAAAGTGATCTGTTGATCTGGTAGGACAGATTTCGATGCACGAAACAAACGAAACAGCTACTATCTGGTAAGTTAAATGGTGTAGTGGTAAGAAGTACTCCCAGTAAGCTATTGCCTAACTCCAACCCCAGTCTTTCGAGTAAACTGAGCTCCCTTAGTGTTAAAAACTAGTCTTCTAAGTGAAAGATAACGAGCAAAAAACTTAGAGAAAGTAAGGCTTTCCTGCTGATAGACTTTTAACATTTCATAATGAATTGCTCGTTTCCAGTTGAAAAACAAATGTAGATGTTTTAAATTCCTAGAAATAACCACTCAGAAGTTTAGATTTTATTATCAGATAAATTGACACTGCAAACAGTATTCTCTCCCGCAGATAATGAATAAGCATTGAAAGATTGTTAGAAAGAATTGATAGGAAGCCCTAAACCCAGGTTTCGTGCTCGTTAGCACTCCTCCACAAGGCATACATGTAACCCTTCAAGAATTGATGTCCTTTATAGAATTCTAACTCGCGTCACCCAGTGCTGTAGTCGGACGCATCACAAAGAGGTAGTCAGGTTTACGATTGACTTCCTGTAGGACCGTTATAGATACACTGAATGGTCACTAAGTATTACAGTAATAATAAAAGTAGTTTTGGGAATGATTTGACAGCAGTTTGGATAAACAGAATGACACAGTAAGGCGCCATACAAGTTATTTGTCTTTTAAACCTAAGCACTTTGGAAGTCAAATATTTGTTTATACGCTATGTGAAACTGAGAGATCACCTTGAAAAGAGAGATATTATTAGGTCTCAATTCAGATTTAATCAACGAAACACCTTTCTCCTCTTGATCAAAATGTACCTCAGTAGATTGGATAATGCGACAGACAACGGCGGGCAATGAGGAAACAGGCATAAAATGGACTCACACAAAACAAGAACTTGGAGGATCTGGACTTCGCCGATGACATATATATGTCTGATTTCCCACAAACTGGAAGATATGCAAGTGAAAATCAACAAGCTGGCCAAAGAAGAAGCATCAAAGATAGGACTTCAAGTGAACATAGATAAAACAGAGGTGATGAAGATTCCTGGCCAACACCAACAGCAACAACAACAGACAACAATCAGCCAGCATAAATGGGAGGAACCTGAAAGAAACAACCTCCTTCACCTACCCACCTACCTGGGAAGCATCGTTTCAACTACAGGCCGACGGAACTGACGAGAACATTAAAGCCAGAATCGGAAAAGCAAAACAAGCTTTCATTACTCTCAAGTCTGTGTGGAGGTCAACACCACTCACCATCAAAAATAACATCCGGATCTTCAACTCCAATGTGAAGTCAGTCAGTGCTACTATACGGATCAGAGACTTGGCCAGCGCGTCATACAGAGCATCTCAAACAAACTACAGACCTTCATCAACAGCTAGCTGTCTTCGCTCAATACCACTCAAGATCAGATGGCCGGCCAGAAAGATCACCAATAAGGTGAGATCTCTGGCAATGAGCGAACCAACCCAGCACGAACCGATTGTGAAACAAATAGGCAGGAAGAAATGGAGATAGATTGCCTGGCCATACGCTGAGGAAACCATCAAGTGACATCACTAGACAAGCCATCGCTCGAGTGGAACCCGAAAGGGAAGCGGCGAGTTGGTTGTTGGTGCAAGGGTGACTTGGAGGAGGTCATGTGAAGAGGAGATGAAAGCGTGTGGGCAGACTTGGAGCGGGGTGAAAAAGTTGGCAGAAAACCGAAGGCAATGGAGATGCGCAGATGGAATTAAAGGATATAATAATAATAATAATCTCACAAATATATTGTGTGTTACAAAATTCATATCAGATTTACGGATATACAACTCACTGTACCATTCAACTAAAAAATTATTTGGTCCATCTACTAAAAGGGTGACATGTTACCTAGTCCAGAGGACATAATCACCTGATGACCGACGTGTATCACTGGACTATCTGAATTCCTGTCCAACACAGCGCCCCATATTACTTCTATTCGTTATTGTTTTAGCCACTCATTTATGTCTTTGAGTCCCAAAACGTACTCTTGCCCACATTTTTATTGACTCTTAAACTCCTGGTGCGCATTTCACTGAGATCGAATAGCACGGTATGCTGTAGGCTGTTATTTTACTTGAAGATCCTGGACGAAGAGAAAATACTATGCGATGCATATCGCTAAGAATTCTGCACATTTCGTGAATATCTTGTCCAGAATAAGGCTGTTATTATCATTATCATTATTATTTTGAATTGGATTGTGGAAAAAATATGTTATAAGAGGAATTGCAATTCACTGATGCGTTTCATCACAGTGGAATCTGTTGCAGTTAGTTCTTTCATTCTCAAGTTATATGATATCTATTTACTTTCTGATTGATTAATGGATCGATTAATTATGATTCAAACACAGAAACACAATGGCACGGACGTCGATGAAAGCATAAAATTCACATGCTATATGACATTTTCTACAAATAATCGTGAAAATTCATCAACAGTATTGCCTGGATTTATCAATATAAATAAAACTACAAAGTTTACAGTATACTATTCAGAAGTCATGAAATTCGAAAAATTCTACATATCAAAACTTTTGATAAGATAGTCTTTTGTCTCTTCAAACTTCAAATTTTCTGAGCAGATCTTTCAAATTCTATATGACGAATGTCCTTTTCATTGTCCCTACCTAATATAAACTGTAAATAATCACGTCAAAATGAAGTACAATTTTAATATGAAAAAATATGTACTGAGTGTGTTAATTTTTGTATGTATTTCTACCTTTACAACTGCAGGTTAGTATTAATCTCTATAAGATGCTTTTTTAATGATTGTTATTGTTTCCTCGTGTTCCTAGTGGAACATAGGGCTTCAACTGCACGTCTCCACTTGCTTCTGTCTTCCTTCTGCTGTATATTTCACCTGCATTCATGTTTCAACTCCTCTTCACATGACCTCCTCCATGTCACCCTGGCATTGGCATCCCACTAGCTGCTTCCCTTTCGGCCTGGTTCCACTCGAGCAATGGCCTGACGCGAGATGTCACCAACCGACCTCCTCAGTGAGTGTTCAATCCATCTCCACTTTCTCCTGCATATTTGTTGGTTGGCGATTAGTTCTTGTTTGGTTTGTTCCGATAGATTCTTGTTGGTGATTCTTTCCGACCATCTGATCTTCAGTATAGAGCGAAGACAGTTGTTGGTAAAGGTCCACAACAGGCTGTTGGAAATAATCTTTGTGACCCGCCAAGTTTCTGATCCGCGTAGAAGAACTGACTTTACGTTTGTATTGAAAATCCGAATTTTGTTGTTGATGCTGAGTTTATAAGATTTGCATCTCCATTATCTGCTAAGTAGATGTAATTTCGTCCTAAACTCATAATCTTCATCAAAATGCATAGACTCTCACGACTAAGGAATTTCAGGGGAGAAATCTCCTCGTTTTACTGAATCATATAGTTTCAACATTTAAGGTATTTGAACCCAAGTACTCAGTTGATTCCAGAAGCAAATATTGTATGTTTGAGTAGTAGTAGCAGACCTTTATCAACAACTGTCTTCGCTCTATACTGAAGATCAGATGGCCGGGCCGGAAAGAATCACCAACAAGAAACTATGAGAACCAAGAAAACAAAACAAGAACCAATCGCCAACCAACAAATATGCAGGAGAAAGTGGAGATGGATTGGACACTCACTGAGGAGGTCGGTTGGAGACATTGCGCGTCAGACCATTGCTCGAGTGGAACCAGGCCGAAAGGGAAGCGGCGATTGGGACGTCAGTGCCAGGGTGACATGGAGGAGATCGTGTGAAGAGGAGTTGAAACAGTATGGACTAACATGGATGCAGGTGAAAAGTACAGCAGAAGGAAGATAGAAGCAAGTGGAGACGTGCAGTTGAAGCCCTATGTTCCACTAGGAACTCAAAGGAACAATAACAATAATAATTCATTAATTACCGTGTAAAAAGAATTTAAAGCTGTTATCACTGTTACGTATACATTAGGAGCCTCAAAATAAAGCAGGTAATACTCACTAGCTTACCCATCAGCTGAATTAGGTTAGACGTATATAATTAGTCCACTCCACTATACTTCGCAAAAATACATGCAATAGCAGAGAAACGTTATGATATTATAGCAAAGAAAGATTTATGATAGAAAATATTCAATATAAAGTGCGAAAGGCGTTCCAGAATTCTGTTTTTATTTCTCAATGGTTATGGATTTTGCGTCAAACTGCCCGTGGGAGTGAGAAGATAAGAATAAGTTGGACTGATAAGTAGGCTATAGGAGATCTAGATTTTACACAGGGATGATTTGTATTTAATGTTAGACCAGGCAAAAACCAACAAACTGGCTGATGAAGCAGGAGGCGAAGACAGGACTCCAGGTGAACATAAATAAGACCACCACCACCGCAACCAGTCACCATCAACGGGAGAGATTCGACAGAGGTCACTTCCTGCCTTCACTTATCTAGGAAGCATCGTTTCAAGCACAGGGGGAACGGATGAAGACGTCAGAACCAGCCAGAATCGGAAATGCAAGATACGCCTTCATCAACCTTGCAACCAGTTTGAAAACCTTCTGCAATTAGCCAGCTTAAAGAACAAGTTTCGGATTCTCAACACCAATATCAAGTCACTTATTCTATGTGGGTCAGAGACATGACGCATCACAAAGGGTAGATGTTTACCAACAGCTTCCTTCGCTGGCTCTATATTGAAGATCACATGGCCAGAGAAAATTAGTGATAAGGAACTCTGGCAGCAAACTAACCAAGAAGCTGTCGTTCAACAAATATACAGAAGAAAATAGAAGTGGATTGGGCATACGCTGAGGGGACTGTCGAATGACATCGTGGGCCAGACCATCGTCCGAGTTAAATCCGTTTGAGAAATGGAGAGTGAGGCATTCAAGGGTGACGTGGAGGAGATCAGAGATTGTGGGCAATTACCGACCCAGCTGAACAGGAGGGCAGAAAATAGAACAGGGTGAAGATATGTTGTTGAAGTCCTATATTCCACTTGGAACCCGCAGGGAACAATAATAATACTTTTATGTAAATTCATCGAATAACTATCATTCTTTTAAATCAAATCGAGAGTATATAATGAGCAGATAAGCCATTGGTACGTTAGGCATAAATTTTAAAGTGAGGAATAGTATCTGAATGAAAATTAATCTGACGTTCGGTAGTGACTGACTGCAGTTCTCGTGAAAAGTCGTGACAAGTGAGCTCCATCCAGTCGGGAATGAGGGCGAATACACGCCGATTACACTGGGTGGTGGTTGCGCTAAAACCATGAATTAGTAGAGGTTGGAAGTAAGAGGTTGATTTGAAGCAGACTGGATCTCATTGGCTGAATGGTCTACAAACTCGCCTTGTTATCTTAAGGCCTCAGGTTCGAACTCCAGTGACAGCATAATGCCAATGAGTCCCAAACTAGGACGGAACAACCGTTCAGCATTCCCTGATTTCCAGTGGTTCTCTAACCAATATCAATCCGTGGTCAAATTTGGAAAATGAATGATCAAATGTCGGTGTTATTATCCAAAACTGTAATATTTACAATAACCTAAGCTGTTATATCACAATGAAGACATTACCGATGCACCTAACACGGAATGTGATCCAGACAACTACAGTTTTGTTCCCTCCCTATTTATAGCAATAAACGATTTTATTTTTTTATTACAGCTTGATTCCACACCGCATTTTTGGTACAAGTATGGAATTTTCAGCATGTGATACCGGTAGCCCAAATCTTGCCGGCCGACCATAGATATCAAGTGTGCGTCGGCAGGGTATCGAACCTCGAACCATGTGCATGGTCGGCGAGAGTCATAACCGCTGTGCCACCGACGCACATATCAAGTGATCGATGATATACTTCACTACAGTTGAACAGAAATTTTCAAAGACACATTCTATGCTATAAAATTATGCATGCCATCTATTCTGTTTAAACACATATTAGTACACAGTGGATAATTCATTAGTTAGGAAACTGACAGTTTATTAAGTAAATCTGGCTGATTTATCCTTTTGAGAAAGACGAAATTAAATCTTAAAAGATGAACAGGTAATCTGCTAATAGAATAGTAAATACTTGAGTAACAACACTTCAGGGTTCACTGATAGCCTTCAGTTATGGGCAAGCTATCATATCTTTGAAAATGAAGTACGAAAACCTGAACTGATTTACTTTGGTCACTCACTTATAGTGCACTGAATAGTTAGTTAATGGAAAACTACTTGAAAACTACTACTTGACAAATAATCAGTTGTCGGTAATTTTAAAGTTGGTTTGTTTAAAACAACACAAGTATGAATTCAGTATACACTTTGATTTCCTTCCCCACTAGTTTTACATTCCTAACGAATCATTAGTGACATTATTATCGGTTACTTGAGTTCCAAGTGGAGCATATAGTTTCAGCAACACGTATCCATTTTGACTCCTTTCTCCGTTATCATTATAAATTGTACACATGACTCCGCCCAAGCTTTCTGGTTGATTGTCTCAAGTGTTGTAGATCTCCACACTAATTTCACAGTAATATACGTTTGTCTTGAACTGCCGATCCAATGTGTGGCTGGATAGCTTTCGTATCCTCACCCATGCTGCCTGCTTGTAATTGGAAGGCTACTCCTTATGTCAGGTGACAACCTCCTCGCACTGATGGTAATTCATGCATGTTGTTGTTTGTCGAGTGCCTTCATCATCTCTGCCATCTGTGTGTTCAGTCAAAGGCTTTTTCTCACCAACTCCTCCACCAGCTTGTTGATTATTGCATGTTTGTCTCATATTTTGTGTCACACATGGCATAAATCATTTGCGAAATTCAGACTTTTTGGAATACATTGTCAGTATAACGTATACCGACTCGTTCTCTCAAATCCCACTCTCTACGACATCATGTAGTCGGCCACAATCAGGAACATCATCGTGGTTGATAGTGGGCAGCCTTGTCTTACTACTGTATATACTTCAAACGCTTCATTCAACTTTCTGTTGTGAATCATCTACCATGTGTCACCGTCGTATAACTGTTGAATGAGGCTTATAAATATTTGTAGTACCCTATTCCGTTGTATTAAAGCAGTTGTCAGATTACGTCGAGGTTCATACTGTCCAAGGCATTTTCAGAGTTTTTCTTTGATTCTGCGCTCTGTTCGATGATAATGCTTAATGTTTCTGTATGACCGGCATGTGATTTGGTTCGCGCATATCCAGTATGTTACGAATGATGATGATTCTGCATAACATTTTGCCTGGGATGGATAGTAACATGCTTCTGCGTCAGTTCTTGCAAATGCATTGAGTCTCCCTTCTTTGAGAGTGTGCCAAGGTAGTCTTTTCCTCCAATCATCAGGTACCTTGCCTTCCCTTCACACTTTCTGCTATAGTAACATGATTATGTCCACCAAGGTCCCTGGATCTGTTTTCAGCATTCCCGGATGATTCCATACGGGATTGCTGGTCTCTAGGGTGGTTTCCAGTAAATTCATAGCCTTCAAGACTTCTGTTTTTATAGGAGGAGTTGGTGTTTGTTGACAGTTCTGCGTTTGTTGGTGGTATTTCCAGAGGTGTTGCGGGTGGCGACCGATTCAAGAGTATTTCAAAAGTTATCAGCCTATTGCTTCCTCTCCTACACCTCTTTGGTAATTTCGTTTACTTCACCACCTCTTATTAGTTTCATGTGCGTTGATCTCATCTCGAATAGCTACCTGGTTATTGAATTTAGTGTTCTGAGGTCTATCTTACTTGCAGCCTGTTATTCGTCACCATTCAATGTTTTTTAAAAGCGTCTTTTGTCTTCTCTGGTACCCTCACTCCTTTGTTCAGTCCTCTGTAGATTGTACTCAGTATTTTGTTTAGTTTTCAGGATTTCATCATGAGCTGACATTAGTTAGAGAACCATTGGAAAACCTGGGAGTACTGGACAGCTGTTTCGTCCTAGTTTGGGACTCTTCAGCAGTACGCACCCACCGGGATTCGAACCCAGGACCTTCCGGTTACAAGGCGAGCTCGTATACCATTAAGCCACTGGGACCCGATCCAATGGTCCTTGAATTCTAACTTCTGCCAGTTCACGCGCTATGTCGTGAACTGGCAGAAGTTAGAATTCAAGGACCATTGGATCGGGTCCCAGTGGCTTAATGGTATACGAGCTCGCCTTGTAACCGGAAGGTCCTGGGTTCGAATCCCGGTGGGTGCGTACTGCTGAAGAGTCCCAAACTAGGACGAAACAGCTGTCCAGTACTCCCAGGTTTTCCAATGGTTCTCTAACTAATGTCAGCTCATGATGAAATCCTGAAATCAATCAAATCCCTACAAACCAACATTTTGTTTAGTTATTTATCACTGCGGTGATTCTTCTGCTTCTCTATCCCTTTTTTGTTCTATCAGTCTCCAGATGTTCATAGTGAGCCATTCTTTATCTTGCCTCCTCTTCCTTTCTAAGACATCTATTCAGGTCCCTTTGCATGTCCTTTTCAGAGAGTTCCACTGTTCTTCCTACAGGTTTCTCCAGTGATGTTTCTTATTGTCGCTGACTTTTTTCTGATGACTACAGTAAACTTGATATTCATGGTTGCGTGCCTCAATTTCGGAGTGTTAAACTTGAGTTGTTGTCTATGTTCGATTACTCTGAAGGTTTTCAATTTGATCTATAAGGTTCTTTGCACATGATAGTTGTCTGAGTCCACTTCTGCTGCTCCTGTAGATTTTGCCTCTAACAGGCTGCGTCTTCACTTTCTTAAGATTGAGATGAAGCCTACCGGATTTCTGGAGTGTCTATCTGGTGAAACCTACATCACTTTGTGGATAAAACATTGCCTCCATTTATCAAATCATAAAAGGGTTGGTATCTGTAAACAGTCCTCTGTTGTCATCCATTTCACCAACAGCCTTTTCACCCATGATTAGTTTTTGATACTGTTGGAGACATTCTGATGGCCACAACCTCCGTGAGTTCGTGGTTGTCGTTTGGATGACTACAGTAGACAATAGACTCCTCAGTTTACGATTTGGAAAGTCTACTTCTATTCCATCTCCTCTCACAAACTTCTAAATTTCTTTATTTTATATAAATATACTTATTTCATGTGCTCCATGAGTTGCCTTGCCAACCAGCCTCAAACATGGAGTGGACACTTCATCAAGTCTCTGTGCCCATTTTTACTCTCACTGATTAAAGACAAATCGGCTAACTGGCTTCCTAACAGCTTCCACTCACTGGTGTCATCTGTTCTCCCCGAATCCAGCAGAGAGTAAGTTTATTTTTCCGGTGTTTTGAAGTTTCACTAGCGATGATATTATTTCAATTAATTCAAGCTATTAATCCTCTTAGCCTGCACATAAAAAGAGGTAGACATATCAACGCAAAACCCTACACAAGATTACATTAGGTCATATTTTTATACCCTATATTAGCATATATAAACAGAACATATGTAGGAATGGAAAAAACCTTAGTTTAAGGCGAAAAACAATAATTTAGTAAAATAAATCATAAGGATGTTCAGCCTATCACATTAATGACGAGAATACAGCAAAATATTATTGTGTTCTGTAAATCTTTGTCATAAGCTGAAATTAGTTGGAGAACGATAGGATAACCGAGGAGTACTTGACAGTTATTTCAGCTTAGTTCATGGCTCGTCAATAGTACGCACCCGCCTGGGTTCAAACCAAGGACCTCCAGATTATGAGGCGAGGTTGTAGACCATCCAACCACTGGGACCCGATCCAATGGCCAACCAATGAATCCCAACTCCTGCGATATTTAGTGCAACCACCAGCCAATGGTACAGCAGAGTAACTATCCTCTCGCCTAACTTGGTGGACCCCACTGGTTACAACTCCCCCCTAGAACCCCAGTGGATATGTATTGCCGAGGAGCCCTAATCTAAGATGAAATAGCTGCTCAGCACTCCTTGGTTCTCCTACGGTTCTCTAACTGATTTCACTTCTTGATCAAACCTGTAGTTAATCGAATTCTGCAAACCAGCACTTGATAGTTATATTTGTTATTCCTTTGGCTTAAGTAATCATTATGACCATAACTTTCATTGAATTTTTGAAATTCTTTAGATGAATGCAGAATATTAACAGCGCCCTGTTCACCATTTAAATGCTGTTCACCTTACTTATGCGAAATGTCATCGCTTAGTAATGGAGTTTGTGTAATGTGTTATAGACCAGGACATTTATGTTATAAAGATGACCATTGTTGTCGTAAGAAGTGTAAATGTTTTGTATGCATTTAACAGGATTATTATAAAATGTTAAAAATGAATATTACTTATGTGGCATTGTATACGACAATGAGATCAGTGTATAACAAGACCTATATAACAAGACCAAGCACTCTTAAAAGAACCTCCAATTCTATTTGATGATAAATGACAACAGAAGAACAGACTATGCTACTGATTAGTGATTTGTATGTTAACTTATGTATGAAAATATCATTTTTGTGTACTAAACTTAATGGTTATTTTGCTCTGTAAAATAAAGATATAAACAGCTAGTTATTGTCTGCTTATCCTGGCTTAGGCGTTTTAAAACAACCCATTCCCATATCTAGTCCCAAGTGGAATACCATAACTCATTGGATTTCAGAAACCTTGAGCTAACTAGTTGCATTCTAATTTTTCTGACAGAATGCAGCATACAAGGCCAAATATTACTCTGCCTTACTTACTGAGGCTGGAGTCCCTCAAGCCGCTGTTATCTCTCCTCTTCTTTTTTTCCTTCTTTTTACATAACACTTGTCTCTTTCAGAAGAAATCAACTTCGTTAAATATGCTGATGATATGACCGTCTCGCTTCCTGTTAAGTTCAAATCAGACTGTTGCAAACTGAATAGCTTTTGGTCGGACATCGGTATGTGGTCTAAGCTAGATGTCCCTACGTTAAGACCCTCAAAATGCCAGACTACTGACTTCTGCTTTACACATAAACGTGATCTACAACGACTGGTTAGTGCACTCGATGCTTATAGCACAGAGGGTACTGTGACAGAAACTAGGTTTAACACAAAATACCTTGATATAGTTCTATCCTCTGACTTTACGGGATTATTCTATATTTTATCGATCTCCAAGAAAATGTTCCGTCTAAGCTAGTACATGAAGAAGCTAAAAATATCTGGAATCACTCAACACCGGCGTTTTCAGTTTGTTAACTCATGTGTCTTACCTATTGAACTTTACTGTTTCACATTTTTAGTCTCCCCTGGGCTACTAAAAAAGGATTATGTCATTTTCAGAAGGGTATTAAAGGTTGTCAGTAAGGCAGGCATGTGGTGTGCAACTTAGTCAGTTTCTCACTGCATTAGTTGATATACATCTGAACTCGTACAAGAAGTGGTTTAAATCTATATTATCTGACTCTCGACAACCACCCATTCTCAACTCTTTCCCTGTATATCATTTGGTAGAACTACTAGTCCTTATGAAAGATTATATCCTTGTACTGCCAAGTACAGGAACTCAACGACAGAGACAATATTAAGCAGGAAACCTATAAATTACTATGTTGTTAACAAAACAATAGGCTCTTTAATTATCTCCTATTTGTAATCTATGAAGACACTATTTCAGTTAACTTATAATTTTAGCTATTAACATAATTTTACACTTTATGTACATTTTTGAATTTATTGTTACTGTTAAGGTCAAAAATTTACTATTTTCATTTTTCCTATATAAGTTTATATTGATAGTTTCTTAATTTATCACTTTTCATTTGAATGAAATACGGAATCGTTAAAAGAATGATATTCCAGTCAGGTCAACGTTTCGTTTATTTTTAAATCGAAACAACTGATTTTGAAATAACAGAGAAATAATAGCTCAGGTGGATGGTTTGCAATTAGTTGTGTTCTTCTAACTGGTTGATTTAACTGCGAAGCTTTCATCGTCCTTCTAGACAATATCCTAGCCCTTCGGCGCTGGGCTTAGCATAAAATGAACTGATTTAAATTCTCCATAAATGATTGAATTGTGTCTCCTAGCAACCATCTTCGTGATTGGTAGTCGACTTACATCTGTTGTCCAAAAGGATGATGAAAGCTTCGCAATTAAACCAACCAGCTCAGGAGAATACAACTAATTCCGAAAAAAACTGATTATTTTGTGCAGAAACGATTGATTATACGGCAATTTTCATTTGTGAATCCACGTCATCTTACTACCATTGTAAAAAAAACAATATAGGCAGACATCCAAAAGTCGTTGCTGAAGTAGACGTTTATCCGTATAAATAAAAACTACTCTGAAATAGTGACTTGTATTCATGCTTATAGAATCGACGGTTCTAGATTTTAGAATCGTTTTCCTATCTGACATTAACCTGATATGATCTACAGAACATTCTGTTCTCTGTTGTTGTTGTTGTTGTTGTTGGTTTCTTTTCATTTTCTACCAATTTGATTCACTCTGCAATTTAATTCACCTCTTCAGCCTATTCTAATCAAATAAAAAATCAGTATGCTTTGCCAAAGATTTTTGAGATCTTGAAATATTCAGTGTTCCTGCGATAAGTTAAATTTGAAATAAAACACACAAGCCTTATTCACTAGAACTCAAGAAATTGACAGTGTGAATGTTTGCATGTTGGGTTTCTGAAATACATACACCAGAACCTAGTATTATTATTATCCATTTCATCGCCGTATCAGTCACCGATCCTTTTGGTAAACAACTCCGATTCTAGAGCGAATAGCTTTCTTCTTAACTCAATTCTATGTTTAGACACTGATAAGCTTTTCAAATGTGTACAACAGTTAGAATTGAAACAAAATTAAAGACTCACTCCGATGCCAACACACTGATTTATTGTAGTTAAAAACTGAATGAATAGTGAACTTTACTCAAATCTGTTTAACTATGTATGAAAACTAGGACGTACAATAGCTATCCCCGGTTAACATCTTCAACGACCATGTAAGACTGTAACAACAGAAGACAAGTGTTGGGCAATAGATCGTTTATTGAGAAAATCAACAGATACTGTTGCAGAGAAGCAACATCTTCTGATTGGTTGTTTTCCTGCTGAAGGTTATTCTGTCATCTCTTTGTTGCCATTGCTTTAACAGTCTGATCAAATATCTGCGAATCCGCGCTAAGCCTACTGTGACTGGTAGCTGAGTTCCTCAAGGTTAGGCTTTGTTATCGTTTTCTCTCCTGGCCCTGATTCGGGACGTAAACATTGACGTAAATTGTTGTATACGATTTCGGCTTGCAAACAGCTCTCACCACAAGATGACTCCGTTAATTAGAAACAGAAGTGTCTGTTACTTTAGAAGCGGTTCTAAATGAAATAATAAGCATAACAGTGAACCTTGGCTACAATCATCTGCTTCGACAGAGAAATAGTCTAAACAGGCCATTAACTTCAAACAATAAAAAGGGGGTCAGCTTCATGTGGCACTTCTGCTTATGACACACAAAAATAATCTACCAATCAGTTAGATGGTCAACTGGTTGATTTACTAGATGAGGGGATACAAAATGTCAATGAAAACCGACCAAACAATCATACAAATTAGTAATGTTAAAATACATCATTTTCACGGTATTCTCTTGCGATATTAACAAAATGGTTTAGAACCTCAGCAATAGCATTGATTTTTATCAGGAAACTAATTCTTCAAATTGATAATAATTATAACTAATAGCAACAACAAAAACAGACGACAACCAGCCAGCATAAATGGGAGGAACCTGAAAGAAACAACCTCCTTTACCTACCCACCTACCTGGGAAGCATCGTTTCAACTACAGGCCGACGGAACTGACGAGAACATTAAAGCCAGAATCGGAAAAGCAAAACAAGCTTTCATTACTCTCAAGTCTGTATGGAAGTCAACAGCACTCAGCATCAAAAATAACATCCGGATCTTCAACTCCAATGTGAAGTCAGTCAGTGCTACTCACGATACGGATCAGAGACTTGACCAGCGCGTCATACAGAGCATCTCAAACAAACTACAGACCTTCATCAACAGCTAGCTGTCTTCGCTCAATACCACTCAAGATCAGATGGCCGGCCAGAAAAGATCAGCAACAAAAATCTCTGGGAGCGAACCAACCAGGAACCGATTGTGAAACAAATAGGTAGGAAGAAATGGAGGTGGATTGTCCATACTCTGAGGAAACAAAACATCAAGTGACATCACTAGACAAGCCATCGCTCGAGTGGAACCCGAAAAGGAAGCGGCGAGTGGGTCGTCAGTGCAAGGGTGACTTGGAGGAGGTCATGTGAAGAGGAGATGAAAGCGTGTGGGCAGACTTGGAGCGGGGTGAAAAAGTTGGCAGAAAACCGAAGGCAATGGAGATGCGCAGCTGAAGCCCTATGTTCCTCTAGGAATAAAAGGATATAATAATAATAAATAATAAATAACTAATTGAAAACTTGAATTCACAAAAATAAATGTATTTCCCAACTTCTTGCCTTTTGATGATAACTCCCTACATTTTCAACAAAGTATTTTGCAATTATTTATGTTTGATGGATTTTATGACAGTGTAAGGAATATACTGACAGAAAATCTGTCAAACTGGTTGGATCTAGTGTTTGAATGACTTTCATGATGTTGTGTTTTAGTTAAGCGCTAGGAAAAAAATATCTGAAATCCTCTTTCGCCTTGACTGGATAAAGATAAACTACAGTTAGGGATTGTGAAGTCCAACTCATTGTCTCGTGAGTGAAGTTAACTGTTAATTTTATATCCTTGTGAACTGTTAACACTACCCAGTGGCTTAAGATTAATGAAAACAAATGTTTTAACAAACCATAGTTTGATTCTCTAGAGCTATACTGTAACAAATGATGTGAAATCAGATGGCTAAAATTTGTAATTTCATTTTTGTTCCCTTGCCATATATATAGTGACGCAGAGTACTCCACTGACTTTCTTTAAACTGATGTTAACCATACAAGCGCCAAACCCGTATACCCTCACTTGCTCAATAAGTATTAAAGTTTATTGAGAATGTTCAAGAGTTAGTTTCTAGGGATTTGATTCATTTCAAGTTTGATCACGAATTGATGTCAGTTACCTGGTATTTTAGTGAGAATTCGGTCTCGAAGTGAAGAGAAATACTCACCGATGACATTGGTTGGTGGTGGCGCTAAAATCATAAATTAGTAGAACCTGGAATTTATTATTTGACGATTGTATCAGGTCCCAGTGGCTGAATGGGTTACCAGGTTGTCTTGCAACTGAAAGGCCCTACGTTCAAATTCCGACTAGTACGTA